TAATAATAACAGAATTAAATAATTCATAATTCCAAAAACTATTCAACTTGCCACTAATAAAGATATACTGAAACCAAATAAAAAAAAAAAATTGCTATCCTTGATGACCCGACGCCATACGTTGTACCAATTTTACCGCCTTTTACCAATTTAATCATGGTGCATACTTGGTGCACACCAATCAGTAAACCATCCAAAGAAAATATAATAGAGGAGGTTATAAATGGTTTTCTTAATTTAGTAAATTTAGAAAATTATTAATACTGCCGATTTTACGTACGAGTGTGATGTGTTAGTAACAATAAACTGGAGTAAAATTCATAGAAAACATATTCGTGTTCTATGATTTTTTATAATAATAATATGTTCATGGTTGCATAACATCATCGATTTAAAAACATTTTTCGTTTTGTATTTATCTGATAAATAATATCAAATATTTTATTAGTGTACTGGAATGCACTGTATACAGTGTCGTGTTTAGGGATAGTGGCTCGGGTGGTCGATTGCCCGAGGCACTACTTTAAGGGGTGCCGAAGCAATGGTTAAAACTATTTTTTTTATAATTTATTTTGTGTTCAACTTTTTCTAAATTATTTTTCATAATTATTGTATATGTTATAAATAGAAATTATAATCCGTCCGTTGCGAGAATGTTTGTTGACCGGCGCGCCGCGGTGGTTATATTATAATTTGTAATTAGTACGTCACCTCAGTATTAATACTAGTAGGTGGCCAAATCAATATATAATCGTAAAGAACAATCTCCTTTTGTTTACGAAAATTACAGAGTTGTTATCAATAATATTATGTTTGTGTTTTTAAAAACTAATTTTACTTAAAAAATACTGAACACTGCCATGTAGGTTTATTAACTTTTAAATTACAGCATAAAGTAGATACTGCTGTTTGTAAAAATAATAGAGTTAAATACACAATCAGATATGTTTTATTGCGAGTCATTTTTTCGCACGGAAATAGTTGTAGCCCGAGAGCGCCAAAACACTAAATACGGCTCTGGGAATATACTGCTAATATTTAAGCGTAAAATATGTATTTGGATCATAATAAAATGTAAAAAGATCTGAATAACAATATTGAAAACAATGAATTGTATTCATAAAAATAAATTAAAAATGTATAACAAAATAAATTTCTATTAAAACGATTATTAATAAATTAATTAATCCAGGATGCATACAAAAAAAAGCTACGAGGTTAAAATCTTCCTTTGAATGTAGGTACTTTTAAAAAACAGTTCTAATTTGTTGTGTCCCATCTAATTTAATTCCTAGTAAATATAACTTAGAAGTGATAAATATACCTTTGATAAACCTTTTGTATTTATTAATTGAATAATATGAATAATAATGAAACAGTAAAATTATTAAACCGTATTGTATATTATTATAAATCATGGTAGATAATTTAACAATGTATATATAACATTTTGAATTTATTTGTATTGAACCAACATTCTTTTTTTTTGAAAGTACTTGTAATTTGCATCAAACTTGCATTTAAAAAAAGAAGAAAATCTATACATAAAAATAATACAAAGTAAAAATGAAAATTATTTGTAAAAGTCCTACATTGTAGCATTTAATTCTTAGCTAGTTATATTAATAAAACCCTGTATTTCCGATGGTCTACGAGGTTTAGAGCACGAATAATAATACTTGATCCGACTTCCAAGGATCGGAGTTGAGGAATTAGTGGATTCATCGAAAATTTCGTATGGCTCTGGTAACCCAACAGTGTCAACTAATAAACAGGAATTTTAAAATATAATATTGTGCTATAATCGAAATCTGAGTTCTCGTAATTCCGTCAGTTTCATGTTTAAAATTTTTTGTTTTATGTCATTTAATAGTTTTTTCCTAACCTTTTTCAACTTTTACTATTGATATCGTGTAGAATTAAATCCCATCGAATTTCATGAACTATGTATTTTAGATCCTGAAACTTATAGTTTTACGAAGATGTCTTTTTGTTCTGCGAGCAGTTTTTCTATTAGATATCTTGCTCTGATCTTTATGTGTAGCACCTTTTCTGATAGAAAATCGATGTGGGAGGGGAGTACTTTAAGGAGTATTTTTTTTCGATTTTAACAATAGTTTTCTCAATAAATGAGAAAACCGAAAAAAAAAAACAGGAAAAACTCAGTTGACATTCCCAACTCCGAAAACACATCGATACCTATGCTGACGACGCGGCATTTCTGTCATATCAATCCGATGATACAACAACATAACAAAACCTCCAACTTCATCTTGATAATATTTCTGAATGATCTTTCAAGTGGAGAATCAAAATCAATCAAGATAAGTCCTTTCACATCCCCTTCACTCTAACAAAAAATGTCTCCCTGTAATCTACTCTCAAAACAACTAAATTTCAACTACATCTCTAACTAAAATTAAGGTCTAATTTTAGACAAGCGTAAAACTTGAGGTCTACGCCTAAAAACTAAAATAAAATGTTCTTAAAACTAGATTTCATCTATTATGCCCTATTTTCAAGTCCAAGCTCTCAATAAACAACAAACTATTAATATACAAATCAAGAATAAAACCTATCTGGCTCTATGGTTTGAGGGTATGCCAAGCCTTTTCAAATCCATACTATCCAGGCCTACCAGTCAATCTCTCTTCGCTAAATAATATCTGCTCCACGGTACATCTCAAACCTCTCACTGTACAAAGACCTAATAATTAAAACAGTTTTTATTACAGCTAAAAACGACTACAAAAAATTCCATATCAAATCATTCAACCATACAAATCCATTAGTATCTAACTTAGCCAGTAAATCCACCTCGGATAAACCACAAATCGATTAAAAACACTATTACCGAGATTATACACTTCACATTATAATGAATTTTCCGTT